TGGCGGGTGGGCGGGGGCGGGCAGCGAGCGGGAGCGTGCAGCGAGGCGGGCAGCTGCGGAGGCTGTGGGGACGCCGCTGGGATGGGACGCGGAGCAGCCGGAGTTGGGGACTGTCACGGTGTGCATGGACATGACTGACTCTGGCCAGGCACTGGATGCATGGGGAATGCCGGGTGCTGCCGCGGGGGCCACCGGGGCCAGGAGCAGGCAGGGCTGGCTCCTTGCCCTGGGAAAAGCAAAGCAAGGCAGCACCCATGGGGCCAAGCCTAAAAACCTCCTTCCTAAAGCAGCAAGGCGGCCACAACCCATCTCCATCACCCTGATTCCGGCTCGCTTGGGCCAGAGAAGAGCTCAGGAGGACTGGCCTCACTCTCCAGGGGCAGCACGTGCCCCATTGAAGTGTCTGCCATAGGCTCGTAATTAAATGCGGGGGGACCCCACAATAAGCCACCCTAGTGCTGTGCACCCAGCTCCCGGTTCCTGGCCCTGCAGCACTTGGTGGGGACACAGGCCCTGCTGGGCTCATGTTCCTCGTCAGGGCTCGCCAAGCTTCCGCCTGGGGTGCAAAGATAGCCCGGTGACACCCGCCGGATGTCGGTGTGGTTGCTCAAACGCGCTGCCCTCTTGCCGCTCACATTTTCCATTATGCAAGAAGCGCGAGCACCTCGGCCGCAAGGCGCTGCTCCGGGCAGGAGCGCCATGGCGGGAGCCCCGCGCGCCTGCGCCCGGCCGCGTCCCGGGCGCCTCTCCTGAAAAAGGGGCTCCGGTCCAGCCTGCGGAGTGCAAGCTCGTGGCGAGAAAGCAGCTTGGGGCTGTTGCTGCCGGAGGCCAAGCTGCAAGGGGGAGCAAAGGGGAAGTTCCCCGGGAGCAGAGCCGCCGCTTCCCTCATTCCTGGAGTCGCTGTTAATCCGTTAGCCCATGTCGGTGCCTTCCAGTGCCCTGGTCGGGGTGGTGTCGTGGGGACTCCCGCAACTTCCGTCCCGGAAGCGCCCTGCTGTACCGCAGGCAGCGGGGGCAAGAGGGTTTCGTAGGGCCTCAGGCCCTGCTGCGGACGCTGTGGTCCCCCGCTCATGGGACCCATGCGGTTGGCAGGGGGGATCCAACCTGGCTGGATCCCAGCACGTGTCCAGAGCAGGTGCAGGCTGGCAGATTTGGAGCAGGGCAAGCAGGGGACGATGCTTGCGCGATGCAGATTGGTGCGTTCCCTGGCGTTTGGGCTCCTCTCCTCCTCCTCTTCGTCCTGAGTCTGCGTTTCACATCAGCCCTGGCAGTGCGGGAACATCCCCAGGGCTGGGATCCAGCGCGGGGGCCATGGGCTGTCCCTGCTGGCCCAGCTCCTCATCTCACAGGTGGTGCCCCGCGGATCAGCCTTGCCCTCCGAGTCCTGGGCATGGCCGTGGCTGGGGCTGCAGGGGATTTGATCTTAGGGATGCCATCCTGGAGGAATGGGAGCATCCTGAGACATGTGACTGGCAAAACATGGGAGCTGCCAAAGGGATGAAGGCTTCAAGGCCCGCTGCGCGTGAAGCTGGGAGCGCACAGGGCAAGGGGCAGCAGGAGCAGCGTCCCACACCGGAGCGTGCCGGAGCGCCGGGGTCCCGGCTAGGGAGAGCCGAGGGGCAGCGTGCGAGCCCCACTGCTCGCAGCCCGCAGAGCGTCCCGTGCTGGGGCCGTGGAACAGCGGAGCCCGGCCGCCCCCGCGCGC